CTCTTTTAGAAAATGGGGAAGTAGACCTAATTTATCTGTAGCTTCCTTCTAGCATTAGAGTACCATATGCACCTCTAGATATGATGGGGTAGAACCTAGGAAATGGAAAAGAAGGGCTAATTTTACCCAAAGTAATTGACACTAGCAAGGCAGTGTCTCCATCTGAATAAGTGAGTGCTAATCTTGTGCTTAACCATGAAGACAACTCAACCCTCCTTCCCTCAAGTGTGAATGTCCACTCCCAACTCATTTGGTAAGCAAAACGTTTCTAATAAAACTAAGTGAAAATAGCAGTACATGTTTAGGAACTGAAAAGATGTTTTTCTCCCTAAGTAGAAGTTTAGCACCTCTTCTTCTTGTACCTATTCCAAACACCACCCAAGAAAGGCTAAAGAGTTAATGTCTGGAAAAAATACAGAAAACCAGGATGACTTTGCCTGGGGCAAAACTGATTTTAGTTTGCTTCAAAATGTTAAAAAGTATTAAGTCGAAGCACCATCTAGTGGTTCTCAGCTGTGTGGTGCTCCATATCCCTCAGTCTGAGGCCGCATTGATCTTTGCATAAGATTATGGTGTGATTAGACTGTCCTGCTGAGTCACGCCATAGTGTATGAGACTATTTTATGAGGCCAGGCCTTACACCCAAGGGACTCCATTATACACTAGCATCAGACTCCATTTGGGTACATGCTCAGAAACGGGGCAAGCTTGTTAGGATGTAAACACCACTGCTTGCCCAGTGCTGCCTGGGATGCACAGACTGATAGTCAACTTATTTCCAAAAGCCACAGCCTGTAAGGATGTAAACACTACCGCCTACCCAGCACCACCCAGGAGGCACAGGCTGATAGCTGACCTATTCCCAAAAGAACGAGCCAAAACACCCCACTCATTTATCAAAGCCAGCGGGGACTATATGCATATATTAAAGTCTCATCAAGAAATCCAGGCCCCATGGACCAGATTGAGGGAAAATTAAAACATTCTCACCTAGATTGAGGGAAAATTAAAACATTCTCGCCTGGACTGCAAAACGAGGACAGGTAACATGCAATGGCAACACCCTCACCATCCTGTCACCAGACCACCCCGTGTGTGAGTCAAGGAATCAGCAGGCAGAAAATTCCTGACTGTGCCCCAGGTTTCAGCTTGGGTTGGTCCTCGCTGCTGATGTCACCTACACTAACTGCTGTCAGTCCATCCACCATTCATCTGTGTAAACCATTTGGCTCTAATGCCTCCCTGGCCTGCACCTTGCTTACACAGTTTGACTTAACTCTCAGGAAGCTGAACTCTGCACCTATAACCTGACTCTACAGGGCTAACAGCAGCATCTCCAGCAGGCTTTTGATAGGTAGTTATTTAACCCTTCTCCCTGGACACTCTTCTAGCATCCCTATCAGTTTCTGTTTATGCCTCTTGGCTATGCCTCTTTGGAACATCTTAAAGTCTGCTGCAGCCTTTTTATCCCTTTGTACACATTCTGTAACTGGCATAGGTAGAAAATAGATAATGATAGATGGATGAATAGATAGATAGATAGATGATAGACAGATGATAAAGATAAATGCATTTATACACACATACATATATAGAAGTGCATATGTATTATCTGCGTGATATATAAAATATGATCTGATGGGAAACTTTTTCACATCTGTGCAGAGATAGGAAGATGAGAGGATTGGACAAGGCAGTCATGTGGCCTTTTACCCTTTCAGCTGACACCACATCAAAAGCTGGGAGTTGAGCAAAGAAGTAGCATTTGATATTCTGACAAGCGATGAGTCAGGTTGATTTCAATTCCTTTCCCCTCCCCAACTCAGATCCTTCCTGGGAGCCCATGACAGTTTTCATTCTTCCCAATCCCTCAACACAGAGACATGTCATCTTCTCACATCCTCAGATCTCAAGCGCTTTCCCTCAACAGCTCTTCCTTAACCATACGCAAGCAACAGTTCTAAAATTATCCTGGAGATGACTCGCTGACTCACCGTTCCTTTCTCCTGAAACTGTTGCTTCATTAACTTTAAGGGAAGAAGAAAAATGACCCAGAACATGCATATGTGTAGAACTCAACCAATTGTTCTCATAATAAACTTCCCAATTGACCAACTAAGTATTTATATTCATTTCAATTAGAATTAATCTCAGCTATGTGTAAAATAAAACCCCAAATAGCACTGCTTTGAAAAACATAGTATTTTCTCTATCACACTAAGACAATGAAGTCTGGGGCTGGCTGGATAAATCTATGGTTATCAGGCCTTCCGTTATTCTGTTTTTCCACTTCAATGAGTAGCTTCCAGCCTCAGCATTATCTATGGCTCAAGTAGCTCCTAGACCCCCAGGCATCACACCAGTACTGCAGTTCCACAGATAAGCTGGAAAACAAAAGAAAATCATTCCTTTTCTTTACAGGGATGTCCTGAAAACATCACACATTTTATTTGCCACAGCTAATGGTCAGGTTCAGAAGCAAGGGAAACTATGTCTGTCCTTACAATGTTGGAGTTATGTTATGGAGCAATATGTGAGTTACTTACAAAATTATAGTTATGATTGAGCAATATGTAAGTTACTTAACACCCCAAATGTGCTACCTGATAAGCAGCCACAGGAACTCTATGACAATGACTGTTTGTCTGGGATCAGCACTGGCTCATGTCTGATGATCTTGATGAGTTGCTCAAGTGTCTGAGGGAAAGCTGACTCATGGATCCTTGACCTGACCTTATCTTTTTATTGGCCAGGGAAAACTACATCAAGTGAATAAACAGAGCCATGAACTCTTTATGGAAAGTGTCCCGCGCTACCGTCTCGCCAGCAAGAACGACGCGGCACACTCAGGATCCTTCTACAGTAAAGCTTTAATGCATCTGAGAGGGAGAGCATAAGCTTACAGAGCGGAGACCCCAAACACATAAAACCCCTTCCTTATATAGGCCGGCAACCTTCGCCTGGGACGTGTCACCCCCTGACTGGCTGTTGCTCATCGGCCCATGTAACGCCACGGGAGAGGCTGGGACCCAGGGATGGAAAATTACCCAGTGCATGCATATTCTGTTTGTCTACCAACGGTACCTGCCGGATGCAGGCGCCATCTTGTAATGGAGAATGCAGGAGTGGCTCCCTACAGGAAAGAACTTTGAGACTACTAAAAACATGAGAGAGAGGCAGGATGAAGATTTAGTCATGAAGATAATTGTCTTCCACAAGTAGAGGAGAGACAGTGACCCAAGCTACTTGCAATCTCTGGCCCTGTATTTCCTAGTCTGTTACAGAATTGCAGTGTTAAATCTATTCCCTCTTTATGTCCTGACTTAAACATGAAGACCTTGTAATGAAAGAGGAGATAAAAAGAACTCAAACCTTACATGTCATGTGTTTGAGTGACAGTTATGAATTTATTCGCTGCTTGACACATAGTGATTTCCCACGGTTAAAGTGGACATTAGTCTTGAGATTAGCACCCTTCCTGCTCTTTATTGTGTGCTGAGATTTGCTAAGTGCGCAGCAACCCTCACTCTGAGTAGTAGTCATGGAATCTGAGCAGGTAGGCTTACTACTCCAGAATGGACTCATAAATTATCTCATATGCAGTCTTCTGCTCTCCATAGTCACCACTGAATATAAACTACCCTGAGAACAGAGTTGTAGTTTAAAACAGTAGCTTAGATCAGCACTTCTATATCCTCTGTCCTGACCTGATCAATTCATTAGAGTGTACAATGGACAAGACTTAACATTTTTTTTGCCTTTCTTGCTTTTCTTTATATGAATAAATTGTTAAATAAAATAAAAGAAATAAATGCAGCCACAAATATATTAAACACATACACTCAATTCAATGATACATTTCTACAGCTCATAGACTACTTGCATTTTAAATCCAGATGTTTACTTAGGAAACTATAACCAAACCCTAGATTATCTAAGAAAACTTTTTTTGTGTGCAAACTCAAGCATACAGAACGCTATGTCTTTGATATTTCTTTTTAAAGTAGAATATTGAACCTCCTGACTGAAATTCAACTAAAATGTAAATATCTTTATATAGCCAGTTTTTGAAACTTCAAATTTATGCTGCTGGTGGACTCTACAGCAGTTGGAATAGTGTTTGCTCTAGTTCTTTTTTTCATATATATAATATATATATATATTATTTTTAAATTTAAATTAGAAACAAGGTTGCTTCCAGGTCCCTCTTCCTTTCCCTCCCCTCCTCCCACACCCTCCCACCAACTTTAAAGAACCACCTGAGGGTACTGTCCAGGCATTCTATAGCATCATACATTCATTTTCTCCCTAGACTTTTACTAAAAAAAATAAAAGTAATGGCACAAACCACATTATACTTTACTCAAGAAATAATTCTTTTAAATAAAAACATATTTTTATTATAGGACTACTATCTGTGTCAAGTGAAGACAATTTCTTTGTTTATATTTATCAGGGTTCACACTTGTCTTACTCTCACTGATCCATCCCAATCCCTGTAAGTCATAGTGCAGACAACAAAGGGAATTGAGACACTGGAGGTCTAAACAGTAAGTGGATTTTAGTGCTAATTCCATGATACTGGCAGTACTTTCTCTGGGCTCAACTTTTAACTTCTACTAAAGTACAGAGGTACCACTAAAAATGGTTGCTAGCTATGTATTCAACGATTTATACAAAAGGCAACTGTCCAGCTACTTGGTAGCAAGGCAGCAAGGAAAGAAGGCCGGCTAGTGACTGACTTGAGGGTGTAGTTTAGTATAACACCTGACAATGTAACATTTGTTGTAAAGGGAAGCCTTTTCCTTGAGAGAAGCCTTCCCACCAGCCTGGTTCTAGAGCCCCATGAGTCACAAATAACACACAGGAGGCTATATTAATTATGAAGCTGTTGGCCTTGCTTGTTTCTTACTGGCTAGCTCTGACTTAAGTATTTACCCCATAATTGTTAATCTAAGTATTTCTCTTACCGGAGAGGTTTCCGGGCTTCCTACCCCCATGGTGTTACATCTTGACTCCTGTGTTTCTCCTACCCAGAGTCCTCCTGGATTCCTAGTCCCACCTATCTTGGTTCCCTATTGGCCAACAGTGCTTTATTGACATATACACAGGACTTCCCCATCAATTTGTGATCACATAAAATGAAGCTATGAACACAAAGTTGATGGAAACCTTTCCTGGAGGACATGGGTGAAGGAAATTCAGCCAACACTGTTGTTCACCTTTTGCTAAGCCATCTTCTTCTTCTTTGACCTGAGAAGTGGGGAAGGGAAGAGAGTAGATAGCCATTTATACATGTATGTGGTAAGCATCAAACTTTTGCCTGTACATTCATACTGTATGACTGCCAGGTGTCACATGACTTCTAACAAACATGAAAACATCAGGAACAGGTATGCTGGATGCCAATGAGAGAGGTGATTTCAAATGGCTGTTTTCTTGTATTGTGTCATCAGGCTAATGGGCTTTGGAAATCCAGATTTTCATTTTCTAGAAAGAAACAACATAAAATTCAAATAAGCAGGAATGAACAGAAACCCACATAGAGAGACTTGTAAATAAAGTCATAAAGTTCCATCTTCTTCATTTCCTCCAATGAAGCCTGAATGAGAGGGCCAGGCTAAGTCTTTCCTCAGTCAGAATGGCAGCAAGGAAGATGCTCTTGCCTGTGGGCATTTATGCCCGAGCTTTGCTGCTTTAAAAAGCCTGATACTGAAGAAGACAGAGGGAACAACCATGACAAGACTATCTAACAAACTTTCCCAATCCACTGGAACTCAAACTTATGACAACGTTTTCTTCCTAATGAGTCTCAGCATTTCAGTATTCTGTTCCTACCTGAAATAATTTCTCTTCTGGAAGAAAACAAATCCTATGATGAGCAGAATAATCCCCAAAAGGGAAAGTTTCACATAGAGAATGGTCAGCAAGGAATGCAGAGGGCTGGTGACACCTTTAATACAGCAAGGATAAAAATTCAGGTCAATTCAGCAGTAACTCTAATCAAGAAATTAGAAACAAACAGCTTTAAAATCACTTATAGTATTTCTAAAGTTTTAGAGAATACCAAAATCAGAAAACCTTATCAATTATAATTCAAATACCACAATATAACATTATTTCAGGATCAAGTTTAGAAATAAAATTCAGCTTTTGTGCTTGGTAGGCATTAAAAATTTTTTAAAGTGAATAAATGCACACTAAATATTGTTAATACTTCCCAGTTATATAAGGAAAAAGTTCCCATACAAATTTTATTTTATTTTATGAACATATAATTGCATCATTTGCATTCATTTCTCTTTCTTCCTCCATTCTCCTCGATTTGTCCCCACCTCTCAATGCTCCCTCTCAAATTGCTAGCCTCTTCTAATTTGTTGTTGTTGCATATTTATGCATAATATGGAAGTGCAGTCTGCTGAGTCTATCTGGTGTTGCTTGCATGTACCTGATTTCAGGACTGACCACTTGGTATTGGATAAACAATTAGGAGTCATCTCTGAGGGAAGAGTACTTCTCCTCATCTCAGCACTGAAGCTTCATGGCTGAAGTTGCCCAGTCATTTCTAGGAGACACAATTTTATAGTAGATTTCCTGGTCCTTACGTATGACTCTTACAATGTTCTGCCTCCTCTCGACAACATTCCCTGAGCATTAGGTGTAGGAATTCTGTTGCAGAAGTATCCATGGGGCTGGGAATCCCATGATCAGTGTTCTCTGCATTTTGATCATTTGTGATGTTCTATAATAGTTTCTGTCTATCCTGCCACATTGCTGAAGGTGTTTATCAGCTCTAGGAGTAACCTTGCGGAGTTTTTTGGGTCACTTATATAAACTATCATATCATCTGCAAATAGTGAAAGTTTGACTTCTTCTTTTCCTATTTGTATCCCCTTTATCTCCTTTTGTTGTCTTATTGCTGTAGCTAGAACTTCAAGTACAATATTGAAGAGATATGGAGAGAGTGGACAGCCTTGTCTTGTTCCTGATTTTAGAGGAATTGCTTTGAGTTTCTCTCCATTTAGTTTGATGTTAGCTGTTGGTTTACTGTATATTGCTTTTATTATATTCAGGTACGTTCCTGTTATCCCTGATCTCTCTAGGACCTTTATCATGAAGGGGTGCTGGATTAAATCAGTGGCCCTATTATATACAGATGAAGTGACTGAGAAAGAAATCAGAGAAACATCACCTTTTACAATAGCCAAAAACAGCATCAAATATCTGGGGATAATGTTAACCAAGGAAGTGAAAGACCTATATATCAAGAACTTTGTGCCTTTGAAGAAAGAAATCAAGGAAGATACCAGAAAATGGAAAGATCTCCCATGCTCTTGGATTGGTAGGATCAACATAATAAAAATGGCAATCTTGCCAAAAGCAGTCTATAGATTCAATGCAATCCCTATCAAAATTCCATCACAATTCTTCAAGGACCTGGAAAGAACATTAATCAACTTTATATGGAAAAACAAAAGGCCCAGGATAGCCAAAACATCCCTATACAATAAAGGAACTTCAGGAGGCATCACCATACCTGACTTCAAGCTCTATTATAGAGCTATAGTCCTGAAAACAGCTTGGTATTGGCACAAAAATAGGCAGGTAGACCAATGGAACCGAATCGAAAGCCCTAATTTTAACCCACACACCTATGAACACCTGATTTTTGACAAAGAAGCTAAAACTGTACAGTGGAAAAAAGAAAGCATCTTCAACAAATGGTGCTGGCATAACTGGGTACTGGTATGCAGAAGATTGCAGATAGATCCATGTTTATTGCCTTGTACAAAACTTAAGTCCAAATGGATCAAAGATCTCAACATACATCCAGCCACACTGAAACTTTTAGAAGAGAAAGTGGGAGGTACTTTTCAACGAGTTGGTACAGGAGATCACTTCCTAAACATAACACCAGTGGCACAGGCACTGAGATCGACAATTAACAAATGGGACTTTCTGAAACTAAAAAGCTTCTGTAAGGCAAAGGACACAGTCAAAAAGACAAAAAGGCAGGCCACAGAATGGGAAAAGATATTCACTAACCCTACATCTGACAGAGGGCTAATCTCCAAAATTTACAAAGAACTCAAGAAACAAGTCTCCAAAACACCAAAGAATCCACTTGAAAGGTGGGGTACAGAGCTAAATAGAGAATTCTCAGTAGAGGAGGCTAAAATGGCCAAGAGACACTTAAGAAAGTGCTCAACATCCTTAGCCATCAGGGAAATGCAAATCAAAACAACTCTGAGATACCATCTTACTCCTGTCAGAATGGCTAGAATCAAAAACACCGAAGACAATTTATGCTGGAGAGGATGTGGAGAGAGAGGAACACTCCTTCACTGCTGGTGGGAATGCGGACTCATACAGCCTCTTTGGAAATCAGTATGGAGATTCCTCAGGAAAATGGGAATTAATCTACCACTAGACCCAGCAATTCCACTCTTAGGCATTTATCCAAATGAGGCAGGTTCATACAACAAGGGCATCTGCTCCACTATGTTCATAGCAGCATTGTTTGTAATAGCCAGAACCTGGAAGCAACCTAGATGCCCCTCAACTAAAGAGTGGATAGAGAAAATGTGGTACATTTACACAATGGAGTATTACTCAGCAGAAAAAAACAATGGAATCTTGAAATTCGCAGGGAAATGGATAGCACTGGAAGAAACCATCCTGAGTGAAGTAACCCAGTCGCAAAAAGACAAACATGGTATGTACTCACTCATATATGGATTTTAGATATGGATCAGGATAGTGCCAGTCTGCACTTCCACAGATAGAGAGTCTGGGAAACAGGAAAGAACCTAAAAGATATGCATATATGCATAGTACCCAAGAGAAGAGGATGGAGACAAGATCCTCTGAATGGATGGGTAACACGGCGAGGGGTCGGGGGGAGTGGGACCTGGGAAGAATAGAGGGGGTAAAGAGGAAGGGAGTTGGTCATGGGGGAACAGGAAGTTGAGGGGGTGGGGGTAGAATAGGGGGAAGAGGGAATCATAGGATCGAAGACAGATCAGGCACCAGAGCGACCTCGAGTGATCTAAAGGTATAACATCAATTGGCAAGCTAAGCAATAGTGGAGGGACCACCTCGAATGCCCATTCCTGATAATGAACTTGATGTCTATAATCATCCGGGAGCCTTCATCCTGTGACTGATGGAAGCAGAGGCAAACACACAACTAATCACTGAACTGAACCCAAGGAACCCAGTGACAGAGAGAGAGGAGTGATGAGCAAATTGGCAAAGAATGGGCTGGCAAAACCAGCAGAGACAGCTGATCTGAACAGGGGAGTGCTCTTGTACCCCAGACCGACAGTGGGGAGGCCAGCATGGGACTGATCTGGACCCCCCAAATGTGAGTGTCAGTGAGAAGGCCTGGGCAACCTATGGGGCCCTGAGCTGTGGATCAGTGTCTATCCCTGGTATACAAACTGTCTTCATGTGCCTATAGCACAAAGAGAGATGCTCTCTCAGCCTGGACTCTTAGGGGAGTGCCTTGACCCTACCAAGAGTAAAATGACAGACTCTAGATATCCCCTATGTGGAAGGATTTGGCAATAGGGTGGGAGGGAGGGGGGGAAGGGGAGTGCGGGAAGAGGGGAGGGACAGGGAACTGGGATTGACATGTAAAACAAGCTATTTAAAATTAAAATAAAAAATGATAATTAAAAAAAAAGAAAGAAAAAAAATAGTTTCTGTCTATTACAAAGAGAAGTTTCTTTGATAAGGGTTAAGAGTCACACTCGTTGGTGGCCATAAGGGTACTTAGAGTTTAGATAGGCATTATGCTGATTAGTGAAGGGTTGTAGTAGGGTTATCTCTAAGATCAATGGCCTCAATAATTGTGAGTAGCTGGCTAGTTTTCTAGTACAAGGCATGATTTTCCTTCTATTGAGTGGGACTCAAATGTAACTAGACAACTATTGGTTGCTGCCAAGATATGATCACCACTATTTCACCTTTGTTCATTGTTGTAGTTCATAAGCTTCATAGCTCAGTGGTACTACCAGTTATTTCCCTTTGAGTTATCCTGAAAAGCACCTTTGGTGACTATCAAAGTTAGTCCTCAGGGAGGAGGTTTTCAGGTCAAATCCAGCTTAGATCCTCTGAGTCCTCTCTCTAAAGTGCATGTGTGCAAATTTTAGTCTTTTTAGAGGTATTGTTCTTTTTTATTAAAAAAAGTTTTGAGAATTTTGTACAACATGTTTTGATTATATTTGCCTGCAATTTCTCCTTCTAACTCCTACCAGATCCACACCCTACTTTGTTACCCCACCAACTTTGTGCCCTCCCTTTTTTTTCTTAACACACTGAGGTGGTTTGTTGTCTGTATTGTTCTAGATGACTTAGAAGACATCAAATAATGCTAAGCAAGGATGACATCCTATAAAAAACATCTGAAGAATCAGAATGTTTCCTCAGCACCAGCTCTGGGCCCAGGAGAAGTGAGATTGGGAAATTGCCTTGTTGGTCTACTAGATGAAAGAGGTCATAGGAGGAAGACTTTTGGAAAGGAGCAACTTGAAAAGCCACAGGCCTTTGATCTCAGCAATCAGGAGGCAGAGGTAGGAAGATTTCTGTGCTAGAAGTCAGCCTGGTCTACAGAGCAAGTTTTAGGACAGCCAGGGCTAGGTATACAGAGAAACCATGTCTTGAAAAACAAAACAAAACAAAAACCAGCAGAACAAAAAAAAAGAAAGAAAGAAAGAAAAGAAAAGAAAAACCATCTAGAAATGAATTAAACTGAATCCTGTTGGGAACACAGAAAGGGAAATGTGGAGATCAGATCTATGATGATCAGAACCTAATTATAGGTGTGTATGTCAGGTGACACGTCAGACTTTGGAAATGCAGAACTGAACAACATAGTTCTTACACTTGAGGAGTTTCTTATACTGGGGGCAGAGAAGAGGCTACTTGAGATACAATGAGAAATACAAAGCCAGTATGGTGTCCTGATGCGGAAGTCCTATGTATATGTTAATAAAGCACTGTTGGCCAATAGGGAAGCAAGGAGTCAAGGAGGATTCTGGGAAGGAGAAACACAGGGAGTCACAATGTAGCCTCCAGAGGAATGAAATGCTCGGACCCTTTCTCCGGTAAGAGAAATATTTAGATTAACAATTATGGGTTAGCCAGTAAGAAACAAGCAAACGGCCAACAGCTTCATAATTAATATAGCCTCCTGTGTGTTATTTGGGACTGATGCGGCTCTGGAACCAGGATGGTGGGAAGGCTTCACTCAGGAGTGCCCATACCTTTAATCCCACTGTGGACTGCATAGTGAGTTACAGACAGCCAGGTCTATGTAATGAGATCCTATCTCAAAAAACAAAAACAAAAATAAATAAAAATAAAAGAGGAAATACATAGGTGTCCTGTGTTCTTCATATCCTGAAACATAGCTCCTAGAAGAATTGTCACCATAATAAAACATCTTTGGTATGCCAGGAAGATGATAAATTTTTAGAAGCTCTTAGAGAGCTTCATGGTGGGAACTATCACCAGAAAGACTAAATTGTGATTAGATGGTTATGACTTGGAGAAAGATACTACCACCATCACCACCACTGAACATGTTGTGAAGGAAGAAGGGCTGGGCATTGAGCTAATCACCATTACCAATTATTAGCCATCATTACTATGTAACAAAATCTTAATAGAAATCCTAAACACTACAGCGTGAAAAGCTTCTATATGGGGATAACATCGAGAAACTGGAAGAACAGAAGTCCTTGAAATACCATGAAGCTCAGAGCTCTTTCCTCCATAGAGGGCCCTATGAACCTCTTCAACTTGTCTGTCCCCGTTGTAGTCTTTAAAATAAGCCAGTAATAGTAAACAAAGTGCATCCTCAATTCTGTGAACCATTCTCCCAAATCACTGACCCTGATACATAGATTATGGAAACATCCTGAATTTATAGCTAGAGTCTGAAGTAGATCTGTTGTCCTAGTTAGCTTTAACTGCCCATTCCCTGGGCTGGTTAGATAGATAGACAGACAGACAGACAGACAGACAGACAGACAGACAGACAGACTTACAGATAGTTGAGAGAGAAGATAGGTAGATATAAATTATATATCTTTATATATAGAGAGAGAGATCATACATACATACATACATACATTGAGAGAGAGAAGAGAGATATACAGATAGACAGAGCTTACTATGATTCTGAGTAGCTAGAAAACAGCATTTGTCCATGGTTTCTGCTTCAAGATTTTGCTTGAGTTGTCCTGACTTCCCTCTTTCTTCCCTTAAATGACTTTAGGCCACATTAGTCACAAACAATGTCAAATATTTATCCTTCATGGAATAATGAGCTAAATATCAATTATTTCTTTTTAAAGAAAATAACAATATACTCACTTTGATTCTTTTCTATGGACAGAATCTTGCTGCCAGTTGGATGGGAGACAAAACAGAACACAACAGGAACATTATTGTTCTCCCAGTAGTATGTGCTCCTGACAGTCACAGAGCCATTGCTGTGTAATTCATTCTTAGTGACATGATACCCAGCTGGAGCCCAAAAGATCTGAGCAGCAGGTTTGCCTGCAATGGCCTCACAAACTGCAGTTCTGTTTTCCCCTGGAAACAGGGTTACTTCAGGGGGGACTGTGGAAATAGAAGGGAAAAAGATTAAGCCTTGTCACAAATTCCATAGGCATTTGAATCTGTTTAAAATCTGGTGACCTGAAACACTGCAATATATGACAATTTGTTTACCTAGAACTTGGAGGTTAAGTCTCTTATGAAAATGTCCTTCAGATGATGCTATATCACATGAATAATGCCCATCATGACTGAGGGCCACTGTATTGATCTGAAGGTCAGGACTCTGGTCAAATGTGGAGGCCCAGGTGATTCTCATGTCTCTACACTTCATTTCACTGATCTTTGTTTCTACTCTGTAAAATATTGTGCAGGGAGGCGGGCCTCTGGGTTTTATTACCCATATTATTAATATTGCTTTTGTCAATGGAGTAGGCTTGCAGCACAGCAGAACCTTTGTACCCATCTGTACAGACACTGTAGTGTTAACTGGACACACACACACACACACATACAGAGAGAGAGAGAGAGAGAGAGAGAGAGAGAGAGAGAGAGAGAGAGAGAGAGAGGGAGAGGGAGAGAGAGAGGGAGGGGGAGAGAGAGAGAGAGAGAGACAGACAGACAGACAGATAGAGCACTTAATAAAGAACTTGGTGTGTTATATTTACCTACAATAAATTACATAAAGTTGAATTAATGTCTTTTGTTCTGACAATCATATCCTTAAAACTTTATAATTAATAAATTACAATTCACAAAGTAAATATTGTTTTTAAAACAAATTCAAATACTACCCAACTGTGCTCTCTGATACACATTTCTGATGGATCAGTGTGTATTGTAAAGTATATGAAGTTAACACAACAACTTGCTATCTAAACAGAGACAACTGCTTCTCAGTCTTTGAACTAAGAGCAAATAAGTCAGACATGAGAACATAATAAAAAAATTAAACTACAAAAATAGTGTTCTAAATCTAATTTTTGGTGGTTGACAATATTGGTCTTCTCATACAATTTGAGCTCCTCAGGAAACAAATGGAATACACAGTCATGTGATTGTTTCCTAAGATTTGACAAGTACCAATATAATCAGCAAGACCCCTCTAAGGATTGAGGTAAGCATTAATGTGCAAAATATAAAGACACTGTCACTAAAAGTAGTTCATGGCATTTACATTAAACTTGTTAGAAATTTTATATTTATATTTATTCACAGATTACAAATAAGTGAAATCAATTGAATTTAAAATATTATATAACTTCCCCAACCTGAATATCTCATGAAAAATAAAGAGTAATCAATAGAAATAAAAGATGCTTAGAAATATTTACTGCCAATTAAAATGTATGAATGTTTTAAGAACATATAAAACTCATAATTTTACTGAAAATGCATAAAACTGCCAAACTTAATACCTAGATATGTGTTTCTTCTTTCCTATTAGATAAGTGTAAAATTCACAGACAGTTCAGCTATAAGTTTTGTTCATAGATTTCATTTCCGTATTTTATCAAGATTAAATACACAAGTTGACCATTGTGCTCATCTATAAAAGTTTAAATTAAACCCCATAATCTTCTATCTTTTCCTACTTAGAACTCATGCAATCTGCATTGTCAAAAGGCACCATGGTTGATAAGTTTGCTGGAGGGTGTTTATTAAATCAAAACATCAGTTCCAGCTGAGCAGTGAAAAATGTGGGTGTCAAGACAACCTCAATCTAACATAATCAGAAACAGTTATATGATGGAGGAACTTTTTGCATGAATGAGTCTTGGCTTTGCTAAAATCTCTCCCTTTCTTTGTTATTGTGTTGCTTCCCTCCTCTGGGCAAGCCTCATATCTTATGGCCAAATAAAGGCCATATAACCAGATAAAGAAAAAAGTGGGACTTTAAATCCATTGTGGTAATTTGAATGGCAATGGCTTCCATAGGTTCACATATTTGAAATCTCAGTCAGAAGGGTGTGAAACTATTAGAAAATATTAGAAGGATTAGGAGGTATGGCTTTGTTGGAGTAGGGGGTGGCCTTGGAGGAGGAACTGTGTCATCAGGGGTGGTCTTTGAGGATTCAAAATCCCATGCCAGGCCCCAATTTCTTTCTAGTTCTCTCTCTCTCTCTCTCTCTCTCTCTCTCTCTCTCTCTCTCTCTCTCTCTCTCTCTCTCTCTCTCTCTCTCTCTCTCTCCCTTCTTCCCTCTCTCCCTCCCTGATTTCTACCTGTGGATCAGGATATATCTGTCAGCTCTCTCCATGAGAGCCACCATGGCCCCACCCCACCCTAATATTGGATAAACTTCTGAACCTGTAAGCAAGCCCTCAATTAAATGCTTCCTTTTATACTATTTGCTTGGTCGTGGCGTCTCTTCACACCAGTAGAAGAGTGACTAAGACACCCATGGTCTTCCCATCACAAGTTTGCAAAGGCTTATAGGAAAACAAGGATGCATCTTGTTAGGGAAACAACTAGCCGTCCAGTTACTCAGGACCTGTCACAGAATAGCACTTGGACTACTAGTTGCTTCTACTAACAGTAAGGCTGGAATAAGACAGCCAGGGTATCAGCTACATTTCTAGCCAAGACCCACTCTCCATTTCCTCAGTGATAACCTCTACATGAGCAAGAATATTACTCTTTACTGGAAGTAGCTCCTGCTGTTTTTCATCACATTGTTCCGGCTGCTGATAGCCCTGTGACTTCTGATACTGTCCCTTATTTGGACAACTTGAATCTAGAAAATATTTAAAAAGAAAATATATGTTATATGTTCATATAGAGTAAAAGCCTTCTTTCTTAACAAAGTCTTATTCAAGACAACAGATAACCATTAACCTTGACTAAAATTACTCAACAAAAATCACTGTAAAATATCAGATATTATGACATCCGGGGATGAGAATATATAATTGTCTTAAAATCACATTTACAAAGAATTAATTAATCATTTCTTATTTAGAAGACAACTCATCTAACCAACAGTATTTTACAAAGGACCCTTTCCCTTTCCCCATATCCTAATCATGTCCCAGGCATGGCATTAGTCAGTGTGAGCATTCTTATCTGAGCTGAACTTACTCTAAGATTTTTTTCTTTCACTATATTATTGTTTAAAAAATGATATGACATCATCTCCAAAATAATTGTGGGTCCATTTGCTATTATTGATTTCTAGTTTAATTCATTTATAGTCAAAGAGTAGTCACAATATGATTCCATTCTTTTAAATGTGTTAATATGTTGGGCTGGAGAGATGGATCAGAGTGGTTCACAGCACTGGCTGCTCTTTCAGAAGACTTAGGTTGACTCCCAGTAGCCACATGGTGGCTCACAACTATCTGTGACTCCAATTCCAGGGGACCTAATGTCTTCTTCTGTCTTCTGAGGGTTGCAGGCATGTAAGTGGTGCACATATACATGCAGCATACCCATCACATAAAATAAATTTAAAAATTGTAACGTGTGTCATGGCTCAGGATATACTCATGTTCATGAAAGCTCCATATGAGCTTGGAAAAATGTGTATTCTTCTACTATAGGAAGTCATCTGTAGAGACATAAATTATACTGAGCTGGTGACAGAGTTGTTATGTTCGGTATGAAAGAAGAAATCTTAAGAAAAATTTTTTAATATTTTGAAATAAGTAAGAATATAAATTATCAGTACTTATAGAATACTATAAACCAATGCTTATAAGGAAAGTTTTAGTCAAACTATTATTATTAGATAAGAAAAATTATCTAAAAATATATCATTTAAACTCCAACTTCCAGAAACTACAGAAAGAAGAGCAAACCAAACCCAAAATAAGCAGAAGAAAAATTAGAGTCAAAATTATTGAACAGAAGAGAATGGAGAAAATCAACAAAACTAAAGCTGATTCTTTAAAGGGATCAATATATATCCTGATAATTAACCAACCAAACTAGTTATGAAAATAAATCAACTAGCCAAACTAAGGAGGAAAAATCAGAAGACATGTGTTACTAACATCAAATAACAGAAGTGACATTACTTGAATTCCAAAGGACATTAAAAGAGTAGTGGGGATTGCTACAAAGAATTCTATGACAAGAAATTTGAGAGCATATATGAAACAGTCAAAATCTTGAATGACACAACTGCCTAAACTTATACAAAGAGAAACATATGAGGGGAGGGAAATGGAGGGGGGAGACGGGCACAAAGAGTCTAGAGTCTATATTAATAACAGAAAAATTCTTAAAAAGCAAAAGAATCTTACTAGAAACTTTTAAAACTATATAATATTAATCGTGATGATAAGGTATATGCCTAATAACAGAGCTTCAAATGACATAAAGCAAAATTTAACTAAAGAGACATGTAGATGATTTCACAGTCATAGATGGAGACTTTGGTACATCTTCCTCAGAAATGAAAAGAACAGCAAGAACTTTTTTGTTGTGTTTTGTTTTTTTGAGACAGGGTTTTTCTGTATGGTTTTGGAGGCTGTCCTGGAACTCACTCTGTAGACCAGGCTGGCCTTGAATCACAGAGATCCGCCTGCCCGAGTGCTAGGATTAAAGGCATGTGCCACCAACACCCGGCTTCAACAAGAACTTTTAAAAGGAGCATAGATATAGAATATATTACAAGAGTATCAATTATATTGACCAAAGTTGCTTTTATAAAACAGTTCCAATCTAATGCTACATATTTTTAAGTGTTTTAAGTATGTTAATCAAAGTTGATTATGTGCTGGATCACAGTACCAATCCATACAAAGATGTCTCAGCAGGTAAAGGTGTACAGCCAAGCCTGAGGATCTGAGTACGAACTCTAGAACCCATATAGTGAAAGGTAAGAACAATTCCTACAAGTTGTCCTTTGACCCCCACACAAATACTGTGTAATGAACACATTCACACACACACACACAACACACACACACAACACACACACACACACACACACACACGGGCATGAGAGCAAGGCACATACATTAAATACATATATACTTTAAAAATTTTTTAAAGATTAAATTAATTTTATATATAATTATATATATACAATTTTATATAAAGACCTCTCATGCTTTCTTAATTGGATTAAAAGGATTATTAATATGGTAATTTATGTCGAACTTGTATCTTACACATTTTGAAGTAGAAGGAAATACACTGGTATTTTTGTATTGGTAGAAAAGTCAATTTACCTTCATATTGATTAGTCTGCTTAGGAACTGTGGTTCTGGTGAAGCAGAATTCAGACTAGAGCTTTACCACTCAGCTAGCAGGCTCACCTATCCCATCTTTGTGATGATTATTTCACAGACTCCACTCCTTATCTTGCCCCCTCTTTCCACTGGTAACTTCCAGTAGTTTTACTTAATGCTTAAGACTCAGTAATCTATGACATCAATCAATATATTGACCTGCTTCCAGGCCACTTTTTCTCTTTCCCTTATAATGATGGACTGTCCCTTCCTAGCTAATTTCAGTGCCTTTACTTTACTCTGGATCCCACTTCTCTTCTTGGAGATTTCACACACCCTGCGCCCTCTGGTACATGTCAACATTAAAGAGAGGAAAAGCAAGAAATCTAGGATAACATTTCTTTTCAGGCAGTAAGTCATCTTCAAAATCATGATAATAACTAATATAATAATCTCTTTGGTAGGATATTTGTAGAAAACATGCATATTAAAAATAATCAGCTTTAGAGAAACATGTAGAGTGTTAAAGCTGTCCTGTTAGCCTGCAACAAAGAAAGATGCCTGTAATCCCAGGAGTCAGAAGGTTAAAACAGGAGGATTGTCACAGTTAGCCTAAAGAAAGGTTTCATTTCCTAAAAATCTCACACTTACCAGACACCAAAATGGTGATGGAGATCAGTATCCCCAAAGCCGAGGTCCTGCCCAGAGCATTCATCTGAGTGGTTTCTAGTTAAATCACCATAAGCCCTGGATGGACTCAGTGAATCTGTCCCTCGAGGTCAACTTTGTTTGTGCTCAGTTCACCAAATTCAAGGGTGACTTTCCTTCCTCATTTTGCCTATCTTTCTTCATCTACATTCTGTGTGCTGTTGGATGACTAAACATGCATCAGAGAAAAGGTGTGGGGGATGTTTGCTGAGTGATAAAGAAAAATGCCAAAGCTTAACTCTTTCATTCCCTTGCCATATTAAAACATTAAGATTCTTTTATGACAATTCCCATTTTAATGCAGCTTTTAAAGAATAAATCATATACTAGAAAATGAGCAAACACTGTGTGTACAGCTGAGGAATCTGTATATCTATGTGAACTTGGAAAAGCATTTGCAAAATTTCCAAACCAAGATGATAATATTTTGTTACTCAAAGTTCCCGTCATGTTTTGCTCTCTTTCTCGAAGGACAAACAGGGCACTAACATCTCTCACCATTTGCCTATTGTACCGATTACTGAGCCCCACATAGATGAAATGCTTTAGTGAGTTCATCCCTGAACAATGATTTGGACTTACCAAAGGATACATGATAATTCATTCATCAGTTTCTCTGTGAATTTGAATTGCTTTCTTTGATGAGTAATATATAAAGGTTCTATGAGAATTCTTGATTTGCACATACTTTTTGGTTGCAATGGCACCTATTTTCTTGGATATATACCTGCAAATAAAGGCGATGAATCATAGGATAGTGTGATTTTAAACAAATACTTCTCGTTATGAGTTAAAATACCTGCCTGCCACTCCTTTTTATCTTAAAATTATGTACCTATACATGAAAATGTGGTCTTATTTTTAAATAAAGTCATTTCATCAGTAATTAGTTAAAATTAAACTATGCAGGTTTGGGAAAGGATTGGCCTTAGTCCAGTGTAACTGGTATTTATATGAAAAGAAGAATGGGCATATACATGCATATACATACAGAAACATTCATGTGAAGACAAAGGCAAAGACAGAGATGTGTTTCTTCTACAAGTTAAGAAACAAAAGGATTATCAGCAGGCCCCCAGAAGCTAGGAAACAGGCAAGGACCAGATCCTTGCTTCCTGCATTAGAAAATTTAGAGTCCTGTGATGACAAACCATAGCACAAAGACACTTGGAGAGCCAAAAGACTCTTACTCACTTACTTACAGCTTCAAGAAAGAGAAAGTTGTTATGCAGGGTCACAGAGTCCTTCTGCCCAACAAGAGGAGGAGTCCTTCTGCAAACTAGATCAGTAGGGGATGTCTCATGTGTGAAAAACAAGGGGTACTGGTGGGGAGTAGGGATGCAGGGTTGTTGAGTTTGAATAACCTCACAAGACCCGGGCATGGCTATCTGTAGGATAGTATTCCCCCTTTTATTAAAAACAGATTCTTTTTCTCATACAGTATATCCTGATTTCAGGTTCTCTTCCCTCTACTCCTCCCAGTTCCTCCCCACCTCCACTCCCATCCACATCCACTCCCTTTCTGCCTCTCATGAGAAAATAACAGGCTTCTAAGGTATAACCACGAGACATACCAAAATAAAACAGAGTAAGATAACACAAAAACCATCACACTGAGCCTGAACAAGGAAATCAACCTAAGGAAAAGTCTGAGAAGGCCCAAGAATCAGAGACCTTCTTGTTCACATCTCAAGACTCCCATAAAAATATTAAACTGAAAGTGATGCTATACACACAGAAGAGCTGGTGCAGAGCCCTGTAGTCTTAGGCTTGCTGCTTCAGTCTCTGTAAGGTCACATGAGCTTTGCTTAGCTCATTTAGAAAGCTGTTTATCTGGTGTCCTCTATCCCCTCTGACACTTACACTCTTTCCACTTTCTAAACATCATGGATCAGAGATCACTGGGAGAGGGGGGAAGATTTGATGGAGATATTCCAATTAAAGCTGTGTGTTCTAAGGCTTTTCCCCAACCCCACCCCTGTGTGTGTGTGTGTGTGTGTGTGTGTGTGTGTGTGTGTGTGTGTGTGTGTGTGTGTGTTTGAGTGTAAGGTCTGGATGTGGGCTTCTGTATTTATTTCTATCTGCTGCTAGAGAAAGCTTCCCAAATGATGGCTGGATAAAGCACTAATCTATGAGTAGAGCAGAATATCATTAGGGTCCTTTTATTAATTTTTTTCATAGACCAGTAGTATTTGGTTTTACCCTGGGTCTCTGAGCTATCTAGTCACTAGTTCGTCATCACCTGGACAGGAATGGGTTCCATTTGGTGGAGTGGAACTTAAGTCATATCAGACATTTATTGGTTATGCTACAAGCTTTGTGCCACCATTGCCCTAGCATATATTATATACAGGACAACCTGCAGATCAAAAGTTTTATGTCTGGATTTGTGCTTACATTTCCCTTTTGTTACACTGCACAGTACCTTCCTATACCAAAAATACTAGAATGTAGGGTTGAAGGCTATGTACAGGCACCAGTTCAAACTCTCCATGTTCAATGAGTTCTGTAGGTGTTGTCTTCAACAATATGGCCTTGGTGTCAGTGGAGAGCAAACCATTGTCTTTGCAACAGTCTGGATTGTTTGGGGAAATTTCTTGGGCCCCTTTGGCCAACAACTCAATTAGATATAACCCATTCCCAGTAACAGAAGCTTTGTCTAGGGACAAAAGATGGTCATCTGAGACTCCATCTTCCTCATTATTTAGACTTCATTAGGATTGCCTTCATGTATTTTAGGAAGACTCCACTCTCAAATGTCCCTCCATTCTAGTTATCTTTCCCTGAATTGCATGTCCTTTGCCCCTCCTGGCCAGATCCTGCTGTTCCCATTGCCTGCTGCCCCCAGTCCACCAATAACATGTATTCTATTTCCTCCTCCCAAGGAGATCCTTGACTCCCCTAGTCCTTTCCTATATTCCTAGCCTCTCTTGGTCTACAGTTTATATCTTAGTTACCATTTATTAACAGACAATATCCACATATCTGGATCTGGGTTAGCTTATTCAGGATGATTTCTTTCTAGATCCATTCATTTTTGCCTGCAAATTTCATGATGTTATTTTTAACAGCTGAGTAATACTCCATTGTGTAAATGTATTACATTTTCCTAATCTATTCTTCACTGTAAGGAACACATTGGTTGTTTCCAATTTCTGGCTATTGTGAATACAGCAGCAATGAACATAGATGAGCAAGTGTCCTCGAGATAGGCTGAAGTATCCTTTGGGTATATACCCAAGAGTAGTATAGCTGGATCTTGAGTGAGATCGATTCCCATCTTTCTGAGGGAAATAACATACTGATTTCATAGTGGTTATATAAGTTCCCACACCCACCTGCAGTGGATGAGTGTTCCCCTTACCATATCCTGGCCAGCATCAGTAATATTTATCTTAGCCATTCTGACAGGTGTAAGATGAAATCTCAAAGTAGTTGTGATTTGCATTTCCCTAGTAACTAGTGATGTTGAACATTTATTTCTTTAACTATTTCTGGAACATTTGAGTATACTATATTGGGAGTTTTCTGGTTAAGTCTTTAACCCATTATCCTCTATTAGATGTGAAGTTGGCAAAACACTTTGACCATAGTGTCCTTTGCATTACATAAATTTTTCAGTTTCTTGAGGCCCCATTTATTAATTTTTTCTTATTGCCTGTGCTACTGCTGTTCTGTTTATATCATGTCCCATGTCAATACGTTCAAGGCTGTTCCCCACTTTCTGTTAGGTTTAGTGTATCTGGTTTTATGTTAGGATCTTTGATCCATTTGAAGTTGAGTTTTGTGCAGGGTGGTCAATATGGATCTGCTCACATTTTACATGCAGACATCTAGTGTGACCAACCATTTGTTTAAAATGCTGTCTTTCTTCCAGTGTGTTTTTCTGGCTTCTTTATCAAAACTCAGGTATGTGTAGGTATGTGCTTTATGTCTGGGTTGTCAATTCAATTCCATTGATTATTACATCTGTTTTAATCCTAATATCACACCATGTTTATTACTATAGCTTCATAGTACAACTTGAAGTCAGGAATGGTGATATCTCCTGCAGTTATGTTATTGTTCATGATTGTTTTAGCTGTTCTGGGTTTTTTGTTTTTCCATGTGACACTGAGAATTGACCTTTTAATAACTGTCAAGAATTTAATTGAATCTGTAGATTTATTTTAGTAGGATGGACTTTTTATACTTTGTTAAAAAATTAAAACTTAGTGATACATGACCATGGGATATCTTTCCATCTTCTGGTGTCTTTTCCCATTTCTTTGTTAAAGAATTGAATTTTTGTCATACAAGCCTTTCACTTGTTTGGGCACAGTGCCCCAAGATATTTTGTATTAATTTTGACTATTGTGAATGGTGTTGTTTCTTCATTTCTTTCTCAGGATATTTATCATTTGTGTATATGAGTGCTACTCAGCTCTTCTTTTAGTTAACATTGGATCTAGCCACATCACTGAGGGTGTTATCAGCTGTAGGAGTCCACTAGTAGAATTTTGGGGGTCACTAATACATACTATGATATCATCTGCAAATAGCAAAAGTTTGTCTTCTTCCTTTCCAGTTTGTATCCCCTTGATTTCCTTCAGTAGTCTTGTTGCTTTAGCTTAGAATTCAAGTACTGTATTGCATACGTATGGAGAGAGTGGAGAATCCTGTGTAATTCTTCATTTTTGTGGAATTGCTTTGAATTTTTCTCTGTTTAGGTGGATGACTATAGGCTTGCTGTAAACTGCCTTTACTAAGGTAAGATATGCCCCTTGTATCCCTAATCTCTCCAGGATATGTATTCTTAAATGAATTAATTTTCCCAGTTCAATAATAGTTTCCCCACCTCCTCTCCTCCAAATCCTTCTTTCCTACACTTCTAATTCTCCTTTCTCTTCAGGAGAGTACAGGTCTCCCAAGTATATTGGCCAGCCATGACATATTAAGTTGCAATGAGATTAGGCACCTCCTCGCCTATTAAGGCTGGATGATGCAACCCAGTAACAGGAAAGAGTCCCAAAAGCCAGTAACAGAGTCAGAGATAGAGCATGCTCCTTCTGTTAGGAATGTCACAAGAAGATCAGGCTACACAATTGTAATATATGTGAAGAGTGCTTCAGTCAATCAGTCCCATGCAAGTTCTCCAGTTGGCAGCCTCTATGAACTCAGGTTTGTTGATTCTGTAGTTTTTCTTGTGGTGTCTTTGGTTCCTATGGCTCTCATAATCCTTCCTCCCTATCTTCCACAGGATTCCCTGAGATCTGCCTAATATTTGGCTGTGGGTCTGCAAAGGTTTTCATCAGTTATTCGGTGAAACTTCTATGATTACAATTGAGCTAGGCAACAATCTGTGGGTATAGTAGAATATCATTAGGAATCATTTCATTGACTTTTTTCTTTTTTGCCAGTCATAGTTGGTTCTATCCTAGGTTTCTGGCTACCTGGCCCCAGGGCTCTGGCCTTCCAGGCTGTGTGAGGGGTAGGATCCCTTTCTAGTTTGGGTCTCAAGCTGAGCAAGTCATTGGTTGGCTATACCCATACTTTCTGCTCCTCCTTTGTCCCAGAATACATGGTAGGTAGGGCATATTGTAAGTCAAAGGGTATACAGCTGAGTATGAGTACCAGTCCCTCCAATGGAAGTCTTGGCTGGTTACAGGAGATGACCCATTCAGGCTCCATATCTTCCATTGCTAGGAGTCTTAGCTAGAACCACCTTCATGGACTCTAGGAAGTTTGCATTACAGTAGGTTTCTAGCTCATCTCAACAGTGCCCCCAATCCCAGCTGTCTTCTCCAGTACTCTCTACTTCCATCCTCCTGATCCCTCCTGTTCCCATACCTACTCCCAATTCAGACTTCTCCCCCATTCATCTGTGATGTCTATTCTATTTCCACTTTACAGTGAGATTCACATGTGCCTCCCACTCCCTCCTTGAGGCTTTCTTGTTACTTATCTTTTTGGGGTCTATAATTATAACATGGTTATTCTTTAATTTACAGTTAATATCTACCAGTAAGTTAATACATATCATGCTTGTCTTGCTGGGTCTGGGTTACCTCATTCAGAATGATCTTTTCCAGTTCCATTCATTTGCTGGCAAATTTCATGATGGCATTGTTTTTAACAGATGAGTAATACTCCATTGTGTAAATGTACCATATTTTCTTTCTCCATTCTTCATTTCATGGATATTCATACTGTTTCCAGTTTCTGGGTATTACAAATAAAGTTGCTATGAACATAGTTGTGCAAATGTCCTTGTGGTATAGTAGAGCATCCTTTGGAGATATGCCTATGAGAGGTATAACTGGGTCTTGAGGTAGGTCCATTCCTAATTTTCTGAGGATACAGCACATTGTTTTCTACTGTGGCTGTACAACTTTGCACTCCCAGCAGCAATGGAGAAGTGTTCCCCTTGCTTCACATCCTCTCCAGGATAAGCTGTCACTTGTGTTATTGATCTTAGCCATTCTGACAGGTGTAAGATGAAATCTCAGAGTCAGTTTGCTTTTTTGTGTGACTGAGGGCTAAGGATGCTCAAGCGTTTCTTGAACATTTAAGATTACTCTATTGAGAATTCTGTTTAGAGCTATACCCCAATTTTTGTGTTTTGTTGTTGGTGGTGTTGATTTCCATGACCAGGGTTCTCTGTGTAGCTTTGGAGCCTGTCCTGGCATTTCATCTGTAGACTAGGCTGGCCTCAAACTCACAGAGATCCATCTGCCTCTGCTTCCCAAGTGCTTGGATTAAAGGCACGCACCATCAACACCAGGCAATCTATACCCCATTTTTTGTTGCATTATTGCTTTGTTGCTGTCTACTTACTTTATATATTTTGGAAACCAGACATCTGTCAGATGTTGATTTGGTGAAGATGTTTTCCCATTCCATAGGCTGCACTTCTTTTCTTTCCCTTCCTTCCTTCCTTCTTGCCTTTATCTCTTCCATTTTTTGTTTGTTTTTTAGACAGTGTTTCTCTAAGTAACTACTCTGGATGTCCTGGAACTTGTTTTGTAGATCAGGCTGACCTCAAACTCACAGAGATCTGCATCCCAAGTGCAGGGATTAAAGTCTTATACGACCACCAACAGGCTATTGAGGACATTTATAATGAAAGGGTGTTGGATTTTGTCAAAGGCCTTTTCTGTATCTAGTGTCATGTAGTTTTTTGCTTTCAGTTTTTTTACATTATGGAATACAGTTATTGATTTTCATGTATTGACCTATCCCTGGGATGAAGTTTACTTGATTGTGTTAGTCTTTTTGATGTTTTCATGGATTTGGTTTGCCAGTATTTTATTGAGTATTTTTGCATCGATATTCATAAGAGAAATTAGTCTGTATTTCTCTTCCTTGGTTGTGTCTTTGCATGGTGTGGGTATCATGGTAAATGTGGCATGGTAAAATGAATTGGGCGAGGTTTCTTTTCCATTTCGTGGAGTTAGGTTTGAGCAATATATGAGTTACTTAATGCCACAAATGTGCTACCTGATAAGAAATGTGCTACCTGATAAGCAACCACAGGAAGTCTATGGCAATGACCCTTTATTTGTCTGGGATCAGCACTGGCTCATGTCTAATGATGTTGATTAAGCTTGCTTAAAAGACTGAAGGAAAGCTGACTACTGGATCCTTGACCTGGCCTCAACCGAGAGATGAAAGGCTTGACTGACATGGATCGGTTGTGTTCTAGTCTCATCCTCTGTTAAGAGAAGCTTTTTCTTTGCTAACTGCTTTGGTATATCCCCCGCCAGTCGCCTGGGCTCTGCCGCGCCAGCCTGGTTCTAGAGCCGTATCAGTCCCAAATAAACACACAGGAGGCTATATTAATTATGAAGCTGTTGGCCTTGCTTGTTTCTAACTGGCTAGCTCTGACTTAAGTAATTACACCATAATTGTTAATCTAAGTATGTTTCTTACCGGGGAGGTTCCAGGCTTCCTACCCCAATGGCGGTTACATCTCGAACTCTCCTGTGTTCCCCCTTCCCAGAATCCTCCTGGACTCCTAGCCCCACCTATCTAGATTCCTATAGGCTCAACAGTACTTTATTGACAAATAACAGGCAAATAACAGGACTTCCCCAACAATCCTCCACCAGGCTAGGCCTTCCATACTCCCATAGAATGAAAAGTGGAAACACTCAGGACATTTTGAGACCTAAACTCAGAAATGACAAACTGAAATTTATGTATCTTTTTATTGGCCAGAGAAAACTATCTCATGTGAATAAACAGAGCCATGAACTTTTATGGAAAGACCTTTAGCATCTACTAAAACATGAGAGAGAGGTGGGATGAAGATATAGCCATGCAGAGAATTGTCTTCCACAATTGAACACGGAGGAAAGACAGTGACACAAGCTACTTGCAATATCTGCCCCTGTGTTTCCTAGTCTGTTACAGATCTCTTCCCTATTCACATCCTGACTTAAACATGAAGAGCTTACAATGAAAGAGGAGATAAAGAGAACTCAAACCTTACACGTGTTTGAGTGACAGTTATGAATTTATTCACTCATGGAAAAATAGTGATTTCCCACTCTTAATGTGGGCATTAACATTGATATTAGCACTCTTCCTGCTTTGTATTGTGTGCAGAGATTTTTTAAGTGTGCAGCAACCCTCGTTCTGAGTAGTAGTCATGGAATTTGAGCAGGTGGGCTTACTACTCCAGGACTGGCTCATAAATTATCCCATATACTATCTTCCTCTTTCCATAGTCACCACTAAATAGAAACTACCCTGAGGACAGAGTTGTGGGATAAAACAGCAGCTTAGATCAGCATCCCTTTATCCTCTGTCCTGACCTGATCAATTCATTAGAGTGTGAAAAGAACAAGACTAAAACTTTTACAGAACCACCCGAAGCTACTGTCCAGGTATCCTTTAACATCATACATACATTTTATCCTTTGATTTCTACTAAAATTAAAAGTAATAGCACAAATCACTTGCCACCTACCCAGGAAATAATTCTTTTAACTACAAATATATTTTTATTATAGGACTAATATCTGTGACAAGTGAAGACAAGGTCTTTCTTTACAGTTACTAGGATCCACCAGTGTCTCATTGTTACCCTCAGGGATCCATCCCAATCCCTGTAAGTTACAATTCAGACAGCAAAGGAAATTGAGACACTAGGACTCTAAACAGTAAGGGGATATTGAATGTTATCTCCATGATACTGGCAATACCTTCTCTGCTCTCAACATTTAACTTCTACTAAAATGCAGAGATACCTCCAAGCCATGTATTCAATGATTTATTCAAAAAAACAGCTGTTCAGCTACTTGGTAGCAAGGAAGTAAGGAAACAAGACCAGATAGGGCAGACTTGAAGGTGTTGATTTCTTTATACCTGACAGTGCAATATTTATGATCACATAAAATGTGCTAGGAACAGGAAGTTGATGGAAGTCATTCATGGAGGACGTGGCTGAAGGAAATCCAGCCAGCACTGTTGTTCACCTTTTCCTAAGCCATCTTCTTCTTCTTTGTCATGAAAAGTGGGGAATGGAGAAAGTAGATGTCCATTCATACACGTATGTGGTAAGCACCAAACTTTTGACTGTACATTCATACTGCATGGCTGCCAGCTGGCACACGGCTTCTAAAAAACAGAAACAGGTATACTGGATGTCAACAAGAGAGGAGATTGCAAATGGCTGTTTTCTTGTATTGTGTCATCAGACTAATGGGCTTCGGGAATCCAGATTTTCATTTTCTAGAAATAAACAGCATAAAATTCAAATAATCAGGAATGAACAGAAACCCACAAAGAGAAACTTGTAAATGAATTCATAAAGTGCCATCTACTTCATTTCATCCAATGAAGCCTGAATGAGATGGCCAGGCTAGGTCCTTCCTCAGTCATAACTGCAGCAAGGCACACACTTTTGTCAGAACTGGGGGCTCAATTATTTTAAGAAATCCAGATTCTGAGGATAGCTGAGGGAACAACCATGACAGGACTATCTAACATATTTTCCCAGTCCACTGGGACTCAAACTTATGGCAATGTTTTCTTCCTAATGAGCCTTAGCATTTCAGTTTTCTGTTCCTACCTGACATAATTTCTCTTCTGGAAGAAAGCAAATCCTATGATAAGCAGAACAATCACCAAAAGGGAAAGTTTCACATAGAGAATGGTCAGCAAGGAATGCAGAGGGCTGGTGACACCTTTAACTACAGGCAAGGATAAAAATTCAGGTCAGTTCAGAGTAACTCTAATCAAGAAATTAAAAGCAAACAACTTTAAAAATTTCTCACAGTATTCCTAAAGTTTTAGAGAATGCCATAACCAGAAAACGTTGTCAATTATAATTCAAATGCCACTCATTTATCATTATTTCAGATCAGGTTTAGAAATAAAGTCTGGCCTTTGTGCTTGGTAAGCATTAACAAATATTTTAAAGTGAATAAATACATGCTAAGTAATGTTAATACTTCCCATTATATAAGAAAAAAGTTCCCATGCAAATATTACTTTACTTTTATGAACATATAATTGCATCATTTGCATCTGTTCCTTTCTTCCTCCAAACTCCTCCATTAGCCCCACCTCACAATATTCTCTCTCAAATTGCTAACCTCTTCCAAATTGTTATTGTGGTCTATTTATACATATTATGCAAATGCAGCCTGCTGAGTCCATCCCATGTTGCTTGCAAGTGCATGATTTCAGGACTGACGACTAGGTATTGGATAGCTAATTAGGGGTCATCTCTGAGGGAAGACTACTTCTCCCCCTCTTAGCATCTCTTAGTTAACTGTAGGTTGTCTTTTGTTTTTGTCTTTTGGTTTTTGTTTGTTTGTTTGTTTTGAGACAGTATTTTTCTGTGTAGCTTTGTAGACCATGCTGGTCTTGAACTCACACAGATCCACCTGAGTCTGCCTCCTTAGTGCTGGGATTAAAGGAGTGAGCCACCACCTCCAGGCCCAACTGTAATTCTTAATCTAGAGGTGTTGTAGTTAGGGTCTTCATTGCTGTGAAGACAACATGACCATGGCAGTTCATAAAGAAAATAATTGGAGTGGCTAGCTTACCGTTTCAGAGGTTCAGTCCATTATCATTATGGTAGGGAGCATGGCTGTTTGCAAGCAGATGTGGTACTAGAGCTGAGAGTCCTATATCTTGCAAATAACAGTAAATCAGCTGACTCATTGGGTATATCCTGAGCATGGGAAGCCTCAGTGTCCTCCATGACAGTGACACACTTCCTCCAGCAAGCCGCACCCACTCCAACATAGCCACACCTCCTAATAGTGCTACTCCTTATGAGATTGTGGGGGCCAATTGCATTCAAATTACCACAAGGGATTGAGACTCCATGATATTTACCGCTATCATCTTTGTTTATCTAGTGGTGGTTTACTTGTTTAGGTTTTGATTTGACAGCAACACTATTGAGGGTTTCCATAGGTGAAACTTTCCTGTCATTGCGAGGAGACACAAATTTTTAAATATTTTTTACTGTTATTTTACATACCTTCTGACTTTCCCCTCCCTTCTCTCCACCCATTCCCTACCCCCCAACTCCTTTCTACCTACCCCCAATTCATTCTTCCTCTGCTTTTGCTCAGAAAGAGGCAAATGTCAATTTGGTGTGCTGGACTTTGTTGACTCACAAAGGGATGACTTACTCACCCTGAGGAGTGGATAGAGAATGGTGGGAGGAGGAGGAGGTGGGAGGAGGGGAGGGAGGGGGATCCAGGGTTAGATATGTAAAATTTAAATTAAAAAATAAGATTCTTTAAAAAGGGATTAATGTCCGGGAAAGCTGAGTGAGGCACGTACAGGAACTTGTTTAGTTTTTCCAGCTTTTTTGTTACATCCAAAATAACTTTGAAAAGATAATCAGAGGTGGGTGGACAAAAAGAAATATATATACATATATGAATAGATGTTCTGGTGTCTGTGTAGAAACCAACGATGGAGGGAAGAGGCTGAGAAGAGCAGAGCTTGGGTAAGGTGTTTGACCAGAGAGGAAGCAGAAGCAATGATGAAACTTAGTAAACGTAAAAGTGATCACATCTCTACCTTGGTCACTTCTGGTCCATGAAGTGTGTGCCTGAGGGGTGTGCATGCAAGTGAAGTCAGAGATCGACATAGGGCGTCCCCCTCAATCTCTTTGACACTGTAGTTTTCAAGACAAAGTCTCTCACTGAACCTGGAGCTTCTCAACTGGCTACACTACCCAGTGACCTCCATAGTGGTAGGACACAGACTGCCACACCCTGCTTTTCAGATGGGTGTTGGTCCAGCCTTGCTGGTCATTGTCATAGTTCATAAGCTTCATAGCTAGGTGGCACTACCAGAGACTATAAGTTAGTCCTCAGGGAGGAAGTTTTCCAGTGAAATCTAGCCTAGATCCTCTGAGTCCTCTGTCTAAAGTGCATCCCATGCAAATTTCAGTCTTTTGAAAAGCATTGTTTTTTTATTTTGAGAATTTCTCACATATATTTTGATCATATTCTCCTACAACTCCTTCTCCTAACTCCTACCAGATCCACACCAAACTTGCTTACTCAAACAACTTTTCATCTTTGTGTTTTAACCCACGGGTTTCTGTTTATGTTGCTGATAATACTCCTGGGCTAGAGCCTATGAGGAGGAACACGCTTAAAGATAACTGAATCTCTCCTCAAGGGACCTTTAGCTATCCACAGTTCCTCCTTTGGCAGGGCCAGGATTCAGGAGTTCCATTTCATTCCATGCTAGAATTTTGACTGACTTCATCTTGTACAGGTACTGTGCAGCAAACTACATTGCTGTGAGCTTCTGAGTTTACAGACCCTACCTAAGTTTGTTCTGATCTCTTCTGAACTCTGAAGTTACCAAATTTTTTCTGCTTTTTCTTCCTTGACCAGTTGAGGGTTTCTTCTTTAACCACTCTTCACTTAAAAAATAAACTTCTCTACAGAGTCATGACAGTTGGAGTAATCTATGCATAGAATGATACAAATTTAGAGGGTAGTGTGATTCTATGTCCATTTTATAGAATAACAGCCTATGAGTGAACCATCCATAGGCTCTGGACCACAATTAAAATGCCAGGTACATGTTTCTGCCTGTAACTGAAATCAACCAGAAGCAGTTAGCAGCCTCTATAATATTTATGCCATTATTTGCCCATGTACATTATTCATTCATCAGCTGATGGACATCTACACTATGTCCATGTCCTAGCTATTAGGACAAAAGCATCTATGAACATGGATGGGCATATATCTCTGCAGTCAGAGTACTTTGGTACTCTGTCAGAAGTGGAAGTGTTTGGTCATATGGTGATCTATTTCTAGTTTTATGAGAAAACAGAACATTGATTTCCATAGTGGCTGCACCAATTGTACTCCCACCAACAATGCATAAAGGCTCCCCACTTCCCACATCCATTGTCTTTTATTTTAATATTAGTCATTATGGTTGGATTAATATTAAAATCTCAAAGCAGTTTTAATTTTCATTACACTGATGGCTAAGGATGGCAAATAGTTTTTAAATATTTCTTGGCCATTTGCATTTCTTCTTCTGAGACCTCTCTACTCAGTTCCATACCTCATTTTTCAATTTGGTTGTTTGTTTTCCTAGTGTTTGGGTTTTTAAAATGACTTACATATTCTAAATACAAATCTTCTACCAACTCAGTAGTTAGCAAAGATTTTTCCCACTCCATAGGCTGCCTCTTCAGCCACCTTAGAGTTTCCTTTGCAGTGCAGAAACTTCAATCCCATTTAGCTCCACTTGATGAGTCTTTTATCTTATTTTCTAAGCAACCAGAGTCCTATGTAAAATGTCTTTACCTGAACCTATACCCTGCACTGTACTCAGTGTACCTCCTGCTCTTTATTCTACAAGTTTCAGAGTTACAGCCCTAACAATGAAATCCTTGCTCCATTTGGATTTATTTTCGTGCAAAGAGAAGAATCAACTTTCATTCTTCAACATGTAGATATCCATTTATTAAAAATGCCACTCTATTCAGTGAAAGTTTCTGGGATTTTGTGGAAAATCAGGTGGCTATACACACATGTGTTGATTCTGTTCCATTAATCAAAGTATCTGGTTTTGTGCTGGTACCATTCTGGTTTGCCAAGTTCCCTGCACAGTACATCCTGAAATTGGGTCTGATGATACTTCCAGTGGATGTTGTTGTTGTCCGGATTGTTCTAAATGACTTACAAGATTGCCAACAATGTTAAGCAGGGATGATATGCTCTAAACATCTGAAGAATCAGGATGGTTCTTCAGCACCAGTTCCAGGTCAGGAAGAGATGGGATTAGGATAGCACCTTGCTGACCTTCTAGATAAAAGAGGTTAGGGGAGGACACTTCAAGGAAAGAGAGCAATTGAAAATGAATTAACCTGAATCCTTTTGGGAACACAGAAAGGAAAGGTGGAGATCAGATCTGTGATGATCAGAAGCTAATTACCGGTGTGTATGTCAGGTGACATGTCAGATTTCAGAAACGCAGAACTGAACAACATAGTTCTTACTCTTGAGGAGTTTCTTATACTGGGATGAGAGAAGTGGATTTTCGAGATGTATTAAGAAATAAGAAACCAGTATACTGGCTCACACCTTTACTCCCAGCAGTGGGATTAAAGGCAGGTCGAGGCAGAGGCAGGTGGGTCTCTGTGAATTCCAGGCCATCCTGGTGTGCATAGTGGTTACCTGCCAGGACTAGGTACTAAGATCCTATCTCAAACAAACAAACAAAATCCTTAAAATTAAAAATAAAAAAGAAATACATAGATGATCTCTGTTCTCCATCCCCTGAAAAACAGCTCCTAGAAAAATTGTCACCATAATAAAAAGTAACTTTGATATGCCAGGAAGATGATTGAGGCCTAGAAGCTCTTTGAGGGCTTCACGGTGGGGACTGCCATGAAAAAAACTAAATTAGAACTTAGAGCCAGATACGACCACCATCACCACCATTGAATTGTTGTGAAGGAAGAGTGGCTAGAGATTGAGTTAATCACCAATGATCAATGATTAACCATCATAACTATGTAACAAAATGTCATAGCAATCCTAAACACTACAGTTTGAAAGGATTCTGTATGTGAAACTGGAAGAACAGAATTCCTTGAGATAGCATGAATATCTATGCTCCTTCCTCCATAGAGAGCCATATGAGTCTCTTCAATTTGTCTGTCCCCCTGTTGCAGTATTTACAATAAACCACTAATAGTAAGCAAAGTGCATCCTCAGTTCTGTGAACCATTCTGCCAAATCACTGAGCCTGATACATAAAGGAAACATCCTGAATTTATAGCTAATTGATAAGAACTGCAGGTGATAGATAACTGAAAACTTGCTAGTAATGTCTGGAGTGGGTCACTGTCCTAGTTAGCTTTAACTGTCTAGTTCACACAGCCTAGATCCACTCTAGATTACACCATTCCCTGGGCATGTTATGTAGCTTAGCATAGGTCTGAACAGCTAGTAAGCAGCTCCATGGTTCCTGCTTGAGTTGTCTTGACTTCATCTTTCCTCCCCTAAGAGGATTTTGGCCACAGTATTTGTTACAAATGGGATGAAATTAGAAAACTTCTCCTTCATGAAAGAATAAGTTAAATATCAATTATTTCTCCTTTTAAAAGGGGGGAAAGTACAAATCAGGCATTGGTGGCACATGCCTTTAATCCCAGCACTCAGGAGGCAGAGGCAGGCAGTGAGTTCGAGGTCAACCTGGTCTACAGAGCAAGTTTCAGGACAACCTCCAAAGCAATACAGAGAAACCTTGTCTCTAAAACCTAAAAACATTGCGGGGGGTGGTACTGACCTTGATTCAGTTCTATGGTCAGAGTCTGGTTGCCAGTTGGATGGGAGACAAAGCAGACCACCGCAGACACAGTGTTGTGTTCCCAATGGTATGCGCTCCTGACAGTCACAGAGCCATTGCTGTGGGATTCATTCTTAGTGACATGATACCCAGCTGGAGCCCAAAAGATCTGAGCAGCAGGCTTGCCTGCAATGGCCTCACAAACTGCAGTTCTGTTGTCCCCTGGAAACAGGGTTACTTCAGGGCGCACTGTGGAGATACAAGGGGGAAAAAGATTCACACTTGTCACAAATTCCAAAGGCATTTGAATCTGTTTAAAATCTGGTGAAATACCACATAATGTGACAACTTGCTTACCTAGAACTTGGAGGTCGTGTCTCATTTGAAAATGCCCTTCAGATGACACTACCTCACATGAATAATATCCATCATGACCGAGGGCCACTGTATTGATCTGAAGGTCAGGACTCTGGTCAGGTGTGGAAGCCCAGGTGATTCTCCTGTCTGTACAGTTGATTTTACTGGTCTCATTTGTTTCTACTTTGTAGGATATTGTGCAGGGAGGTTGGCCTCTGAGGGCTATTTTCCATGTTATTAATACTACTTTTGTCCATGAAATAGGAGTGCAGCACAGCAGAGCCTTGGTACCCATCTGTGCAGACACTGGAGCACTAACTGGACACACACAGAGAATGAGGAAAGGAAACCTGTGTTTTAAGTCTGTCCACATAAGCAGCATATATGAAGTTATGCTAGAGCATTGCTTGGCTAATGCATGTTTTGCAGAAAAATCAGATTTTTCTCATATTTCTTTTTTCTATGTATTCACTCTATTAGAATTAAATACATTTTCACCTTCTAAAGTAAAAGTTCAAAGTCTATGGGCTACACACACATCTTGCACCATAAAATCTCACACTGCCTATACACTGACTTAACGATTCCATGACAGATACAAGTTTACTGAGTGGTGATTACTCAACAAAATTATCTGTTACAGTCACCTGTGACAAAAAGTCAATAATGCCATCACCCTAACAGGAGCAGAATTTGCTTGCTTCTGATAAACATTGTATTAACTATCTCAACTATACTGTTTCAATGTTACTTACTTTTGGGGTCCTCAGGTCCTCACATGTCACATCCACACAACGGTCATCTAATTAGATGATGAAGGGTTCTTTAACATAGACCTGGGATGGTGCTAATCCCATAGCCTTTCTTACACTAAGGCAGCAAAGCTTTAGAAGCAACAGTTGACAGTCTCTTAAATGAAAGCCATCACATCGCCAGATTCTTCCTCTATTCTAAATCTGTAGCAGCCAAGGCATTAGTTTACTATTTCTAAGCAAGGTGAACTCTTCATTCCCTCAGCACAGGCCACATGATAAAGAAATATAATACCTTCTGGCTCAAGCAATGAGCTCTTCTGTGTCATTTGATTCCAATCCATACCTGAACATCTTGACTCTAGAAAATATTTAAATAGGAGTTTTAAATATTTAAGTGATTATAAAATAGTAATTAAAAGTCATATCATCATATGTCAACATCTTTAAAATAGATTTATGATATATTAAATTATTTCTCCTTTATGAGTAACCTTATTCTGCCAAATTGTTTGTAGAGTAGCACTGTTTTCCTTCTTCCAACCACTTGCTAGGTAAGCAGAACACATGAGCTGACTTAATTAAATGGGATATTCAGTCACACTGTGAAGACCAAGTGTGCATTTGCATTGATTAAATAAAATTAATTTAGGTTCCGGAGACTTAGCATCTATTGGACAGACAGGAATAGTGAAGTATCAGAGGGCATCTTGGAGACATAGAAAGACACAGCAAATAGTAGGGAGAGGTTTGGAATGCACAGTTTTTTTGTTTGTTTGCTTTGGTAGAGTGGAAGGGCTCACGCTTTTTAGAGACACCAGCAAGGAGAGAGGTTTAGCTGGTTATGAACCAGTTTCTCTGAGCCAGCAGGTTTTCAACCCAACTTTTGAACCTTGAGTCTTATTTATAAATAGAATGATAGAGATTTAGTTATATCTAATTTAGTAGCAGTGAGAGAGCCAGTGCCTGCAGGAATAGAATTCCCACCAGGCTGCCTGCCACCTTAGGCTGCTGTTACAAAATTAGGTCAATACTTGCTGAGTTACAATTGTTGGATGAAATAACAGTATATTAAGACATGGACAGTGTGGCAAAACTGCATTTGGTGCCCCCAACAAATTGCATGACCACATGAAGAGAGAAGTTACATAGTCTAGTTCTGCTGCAGCTGCTGTGTGGGCCTCTCTGTATGAGTACTCACATCAGCCAGCTGTCATTTGCCCAGGCTCATTAAAGGAGGATTGTGCTTGGAAATTGTGAGAGGGGCTTGAGTTGACCCCCAACGCCATGGACAAACAGTGAGTAGTCAGCAGATTTGGTGAGATACCTGGGAAGTCCTTTAAGGAAGAGTTAAATAATATAGAAAAGAAAAAATATTTCCCACATTAAGAATGAGGAATATCATAATGCAGGGTACATTACGCATAATGCTAATATGGATGGTTTGAAAATGGAAAATTTAAATGAAGGGATTAGTGACTTAGCTGGAATTGGCCTAATATTGATTGTAATTACTATCAGCTTGGTAATTACTACCTAATCTTTTAAAAAGATAGATTGATAACTATGCCAAATATGATCATTTAACTGATAATATGTAAGCCTTGGAAAGACTTACTATTAAGAAGATACACGCACTTGGAAGCAACTAGATGCCCCTCAACCGAAGAGTGGATAGAGAAAATGTGGTACATTTACACAATGGAGTACTATTCAGCAGACAAAAACAATGGAATCCTGAGATTTGCAGGCAAATGGATGACACTAGAAGAAACCATCCTGAGTGAGGTAACACAGTCACAAAAAGAGAAGCATGTCATGTACTCTCTCATATATGGATTTTAGACATGGATCTGGGGAGTGCCAGCCTACAATCCCATGGCCGGAGAGTCTGGGAAACAGACACTTCATTCAGTGGCTGATGGAAGAAGAGGCAGACTCCCACCACTAAGCACTGAGCAGAACTCAAGAAAGCCAGTAACAGAGAGGGAGGACTGATGACCAAAGGGATTAAGACTGGGCTGGTTTAACCCCAGAAACAGCTGACCTGACAAGGGTTAACTCTTGAATCACAGGCTGATGCCTGGGAATCCAGCATGGGACTGATCAAGACCCCCTGAATGGGGGTGTCAGTGAGGAGGCCTAGGTAATCTATTGAGCCTTGGGCAGCAGATCAGTATTTATCCTGGGTATACAAATGGACTTTGGACTCCCATCCAACAATGAAAGATGCACTCTCACCCTGAACTCTTGGGGGGAGGGTCTGGGCCCTGCCCTGGATGAAATGTCAGAATGTGGATGCCCAATGGGGGGCCTCACCCTCCCTGGGAAATGAGGGGGTATTGGAGGGGTTGGGGGAAGGGTACGGGAGGGGGGAGGGAAAGGGAGAGGGACCTGGAACTGACTTGTGAAGCAACCTTGTTTCTAATCTAAATTTAAACTTAAAAAAAAAAAAGATACATGCTTTAGAAATACTTACTATTGAGGACTAGACTGGCTGCCTGTGCTTGAAGTCTACCTCTGTGTCTTCCATCTAAGCAGCAGGAGCCAAGCTCCCTAGATTCCTGCCCCACCTAGGGGTCCAGGTAAACCAGGTATCATTTCCAGAGTGCTCTGCCACTGAAGTTTCCATGGGGGCAGAGGTGGCGGGGAGCTAAGATACCATAGTTTCCTGCTCCACCCACAGATCCTGGACTAGACCAGTTGCTGGTGTTCAGGGACTGCCACAGCAGCTTCCATCCCAGAGGCAGGAGCAAACTCACCCTAGCATCCTAGTCTCCTGCTCCACCCACGTAACTAAGACTATCAGGGCTTGTCTCCAGGCCACACTGCTATGCCTGGGGTATACCACTGGGGCTCCCATCCAACCCAGTGGGATCCAAAGCACCCCAGCATCCTAGTCCATTTTTCCGCCCGCGAGAGGAAGTGGAGAGCTACCAGAACAGTGGACATGCCAATACACAACAGAAGGGAACCCTGGTCCCACACCCATCAGTAGAGGTAGAGGCACCCTCTGGAACCCATTGCAAGAACAGATGGGAAGGAGATAATATAAAAACACAAGGAACAACAGAAAAACCAATATGACACCATCAGAGTTAGAGACCCTACACCAACAAGACTGGAACACTCCAACACAAATGACTAGAAAATAATGACATGAAAAACAACTTCCTGGAAATGATAGAGGCCCTAAAAGAGGATATGAGAAAATCCCTTAAAGAGATGGAAGGAAAAAACAATACAAAATGCAAGAAATGGAGCAAAAGACAAAAAAAATGTAAGAAACAATTCAAACAGTGAAAGGGCTTAAATCTGAAATAGAAACAATAAAAAAACACAGTCTGAAGGAATGCTGGAAATAGAAAAGCTGGGAAAATGGTCAGGTACTAAAGAAGCAAGCATAAGCAACAGAATGCAAGAGATGGAAGAGAGAATCTCAAGTGTTGAAGATACACTAGGATAAGTAGATTCATTGACCAAAGAAAATCTTAAGTTCAACAAATCCCTAACACAAAATATGCAGGAAATATGGGACACCATGAAAAGACCAAACTTAAGGTCTTATAGGGCCAGAAAACATATTCAACAAAATAATAGAAGAAAACTTGTCCAACCTAAAAAAGACAGACATGCCAATGAAGGTACAAGAAACTTATAGAATACCAAATAGAATGGACCCCCCCCAAAAAATCCCCTTGACACATAATAATCAAGACCCCAAAGATACAGAATAAAGAAAGAAGCAGAAGCAGACACCACAGCTAAACACTGAACTGAACTCCTGGAAACCAGTTGTAGAGGAGGAGTGATGAACAAAGGGGTCAAGAATGGGCTGATGAAACCCATCAAAACAGCTGACCTGAACAAGGAAGAGCTCATAGACCCCAGGCTGATGACTGAGAGGCAAGCTAGGGACTGATCCAGACCCCCTAAATTTGGGTGTCAGTGAGGAGGCCTTGAGAACCTGTGGGGTATTTATCACTGGCATACAAATGGACTTTAGGAGCCTATTCCACATAGAGGGATGCTCTCTCAGCCTGGATACATGAGGAAGGGCCTAGGCTCTGCCCTTGATGATATAATAGACTTTGGAGATCCACCATGTATGGCCTCACCCTCCCTGGGGAGTGGAGTGAGAATTGAGCAGAAGTTTGGGGGCATTGTTGGGGAGCGGGGGAGGAGAGGAGAGAGAGGGAGCTAAGATTGACATATGAAGCAAGCTTATTTCTAATTTAAAATATATAAAATAATAAAGAAAAGTTGTTGGAATTCATAAAAACATGTAAATAATTGCTTGTAAGCACATAATAAATATTGACAAACCAGCCCTTTTCAAAAATTTTCTCATGACAGCCCAATTTAAATACAATTTGCCTGGCACATACTATGGATTGTATCTGGGAAAGCAAGAAAGCAAGGCAGAAGGTCATATCCAGAGTCAGGGCCCACTGAGGAAAGAACTCAGCAATCTGTTCACCAAATAGGATTCTATAGTTATGATCTGACATCCAACAAGAATAAACATGTTTTATCAATTAAATGCAAATGTTTAACACAACAGGCATGAAATCATGACCAAGACAATCCAAGGAACAGAATGCACTTGAGGTAAAAGTCCCTCTGCCCATCTTCCTCGGGCCGTCCTCAGAGTTCTTCAAGGCACTGTTCACCATGGGGCATTCTTTTAATCACGTTCTGATAGGTAGTTATAGGCATTACTGGTGATAAAGGAAAATACCATATAACTATACCACAAACTTCTGACGGCAAAATATTAATTTCACACAACATAGGAGAGATGAAGGAAGGAGAAGGGAAGAGAGACACTCGAGTCTATATTAATAATAGAAAAATTATTCAAAGCAAAAAGTGTTAATGGTCATTTCAAAATTTGTACAATGTTAATTGTCATGATTAAGTACAAACCTAATAATGAAGCTTCAAACCACATAAAGCAAAACTTCACTAAATTAAAGAGACATTTGGACAGTTTCACAATCATAGAGAGAGATTTTGACACTCTTCCTCAGAAGTGGATCCACTAATCAGAATTTTAAAAAAGTAGTGTAGGTCAATCCCATGGCCAGAGAGTCTGGGAAACAGAACCTTCATTCAGTGGCTGATGGAAGAAGAGGCAGACTCCCACCGCTAAGCACTGAGCTGAACTCAAGAAATCCAGTAACAGAGAGGGAGGGCTGATGACCAAAGGGATTAAGACTGGGCTGGTTTAACCCCCAGAAACAGCTCACATGACAAGCGTTAACTCTTGAATCCCAGGCTGATGCCTGGTAATCTAGCATGGGACTGATCAAGACCCCCTGAATGGGGGTGTCAGTGAGGAGGCCTAGGTAATCTATTGAGCCTTGGGCAGTAGATCAGTATTTATCCCGAGTATACACATGGACTTTGGACTCCCATCCAACAATGTGAGATGCACTCTCACCTTGAACTCTTGGGGGAGGATCTAGGCCCTGATCTGGATGAAATGACAGACTATGGACACCCCCATGGAGGGCATCAGCCTCCCTGGGTAGATGAGGGAATATTGGGAGGGTTGGAGGGAGGGCACGGGAGTAGGGGAGGGAAAGGGAGAGGTACCTGGAACTGATTTGTGAAGCAACCTTGTTTCTAATCTAAATTTAAATTTAAAAATAAATAATAAAAAATTTATGAAAAAAGTAGTGTAGGCATAGAATATATCAATAACAGTATCAAATTAAGTGACTAAAAAGAAATTAATAAAACAATTTCAATGTACATAATATGTATATTTCAAATGACCCAGATACATTCATCAAAATTGATTATGTGCTGGATCACAATACAGATCTCTACCTTTAAGAAGGTCAGAGGCCAGCAAGACGGCTCACAAGGTCAAGGTATGTACAGCCACACCTGAAGACCTGAGTTTAAACCCTGGAATCCACGTAGAGAACAACTCATACAGTTGTCCTGTGACCCCCACATAAAAGGTGTGTCAAGGTACACACACACGTAACACACACACACACACACACTAAATAAATACATGTATATTTTTTAATAATTTGAATATGGTTAAATTAACTTCATATAAAGGCCTCACATGCTTTCTTAATTGTTAAAAATGGATTATTAATGTGGTAATTTATATCAGACTTGTATCTTATACATTTTGAAATAGAGGTAAATACACTGGTATTTTTGTATTGGAAGAAAAGTCAATTAGCTTTCACATTGATCAGCCTGCTTAGGAATTGTGGTCCTAGTGAAGCAGAAGTCCAACTGGAATTTTACCACTCAGCCAGCCGGCTGGCCTGTCCCATCTTTGTGATGATTATTTCACAGACTCCACTCCTTATCTTGCCCCCTCTTTCCACTGGTAACCTCCAGTAGCTTCACTTAATGCTTAAGACTCAGTAATCTATAACACCAATCAATGTATTGACCTGCTTCCAGGCCACTTTTTCTCTTTCCCTTATAATGATGGAGTGTCCCTTCCTAGCTAATTTCAGTGCCACATTTTACTCTGAATCCCACTTCTCTTCTTGGAGTTATTTGCCCCGTCCCCTCTCTCTCTGGTACGTATCAACATTAAAGAGAGGAAAAGCAAGAAATCTAGGATAACATTTCTTTTCAGGCACCAACTCATCTTCAAAGTCATTATAACAGCTAATAGAATAATCTCTTTGGTGGGATATTGTAGAAAACTTGCTTATTAAAAATAATCAGCTTTAGAATAACAAGTAGAGTGTTAAAGCTGTCCTGTTAGCCTGCGAGAAATGTAGATGCGTATAATCCCAGGAGTCAGAGGGTTGAGGTAGGAGGATTGCCACAGTTAGCCTAAAGGAACTTTGGAAGTAACATGTGTAAAAAATTAAATAAAATTATAAAAAATGAAAAAAATAATTTACTTCAAAATAAAAAAAAGAAAGGTTTCATTTCCTAAAAGTCTCACACTTACCAGACACAAAATTGTTGAAGGAGATCAGCATCCCCAAAGCCCAAGTCCTGCCCAGAGCATTCATCTGAGTGGTTTCTAGTTAAATCACCATAAGCCCTGGATGGACTCAGTGAATCTGTCCCTCGAGGTCAACTTTGTTTGTGCTCAGTTCACCAGATTCAAGGGTGACTTTTCTTCCTCATTTTGCCTATCTTTCTTCATCTACATTCTGTGTGTTGTTGGATGACTAAGCATGCATCAGAGAAAAGGTGTGGTGATGTTTGCTGAATGATAAAGAAACTAAAGCTTAACTCTTTCATTCCCTTGCAATATTAAAACATTAAGATTCTTTTATGACAATTCCCATTTTAATGCAGTTTTTAAAATAAATCATATAAATGAGCAAATACTGTGTGTACAGTTGATGAATCTGTGCATCTATGTGAACTTGGAAAAGCATTTGCAAAATTTCCAAACCAAGGTGATAACATTTGGTTACTCAACGTTCCCATCATGCTTTGTTCTCATTCTCAAAGGACAAACAGGGCACTAACATCTCTCACCATTTGCCTATTGTACCGATTACTGAGCCCCACATAAACGAAATGCTTTAGTGAGTTCATCCCTGAACAGTGGTTTGGACTTACCAAAGGATACATCGTAATTCATTCATCAGTTTCTTTGTGATGTTTTCCCTGATGACTAATGTATAAAGCTTCTATGAGAATTCTTGATTTGCACATACTTTTTGGTTGCAATGCCACCTGTTTTCTTGGATATGTATCTACAAAATAAAGGTGATTATTCATAGGAAAGTGTGACTTTAAACAAATATTTCCCATTATGGCTTAACTTGCCTGCCTGCCTGCCCCTCCTTTTTGTCTTAAAATTATATACCAATACCTGAGGGTGTGGTCTTCTGTTTTTTTTTCTTTTTTTAAAAAATTTTTCTTTTTAACCTTAAATTTAAATTAGAAACAAGGTTGCTTCACATGTCAATTCCAGGTCCCTCTCCCTTTCCCTCCCCTCCACCCACACCCTCCTACCAACCTTTCCAACATCCCCTCATTTTCCCAGGGAGGGTGAGGCCCTCTGTGGGGGTGTCCATAGTCTGTCATTTCATCCACGGCAAGGCCTAGATCCTCCCCTGAGAACCCAGGGTGAGAGTGCCTCTCTCATTGTAGGATGGGCACCCAAAGTCCATTTGTATATCCGGGATAAATACTGATCTACTGCCCAAGGCCCAATAGATTACCTAGGCCTCCTCACTGACACCCATGTTCAGGGGGTCTTGATCAGTCCCATGCTGGATTTCTAGCCATCAGTCTGGGATTTAAGAGCTAACCCTTGTCAGGTCAGCTGTGGTCTTCTTTTTAAAGTCATTTCATCAGTAATTAGTTAAAATTTAACTAGGGAAATGTTGAGCCCTAGTCCAGTGTAACTGGTATTTATATGAAAAGAAGAATGGGCTTATACATGCATATACAGAAACATTCATGTGAAGACAAAAGCAAAAACAGAGATGTGGTTCTTCTACAAGTTAAGAAACAACAAGGAATACCAGCAGGTCCCCAGACACAGGCAAGGGCCAGATCCTTGCTTCCTGCATTAGAAATTTAGAGTCCTGTGATGACAAACCACAGCACAAAGACATCTGGAGAGCCAAAAGACTCTTACTCACTTACTCAACTTAGTTACTTACTTCCTTGCTTGCTTACTTACATAGTTACTCACTCACTTACGGCTTCAAGAAAGAAAAGGCTGCTATATAGGGTCACAGAGACCTTGTGCCCAACAACAGAGGAACTGCAAGCTGGATCAGTAGGAAATGGCTCATGTGTGAAAAGCAAGGGGTATCTGTGGGGAGTAGGGCTGCAGGGTTGTTGAGTTTGAATAACCTCACAAGACCCGGGCATGGCTATCTGTAGGATAGTATTCCCTCTTTTATTAAAAACATATTCTTTCCTCATACAGTATATCCTGATTTCAGGTTCTCTTCCCTCTACTCCTCCCAGTTCCTCCCCAACTCCACTCCCATCCACATCCACTCCCTTTCTGCCTCTCATGAGAAAAAAAAAAACAGACTTCCAAGGTATAACCACAAGACATACCAAAATAAAATATAGTAATATAAAACAAAAACCATCACACCGAGCCTGAACAAGGAAATCATCCTAGGGAAAAGTCTGAGAAGACACAAGAATCAGAGACCTTCTTGTTCACATCTCAGGACTCCCATAAAAATATTAAACTGAAAGTGATGCTATACACACACAGAAGAGCTGGTGCAGAGCCCTGTAGCCTTGGGCTTGCTGCTTCAGTCTCTGTAAAGTCACATGAGCTTTGCTTAGCTCATTTAGAAGGCTGTTTTCCTTGTGCACTGTCACCTCTGACTCTTACATTCTTTCTACTTTCTAAACATCAGGGATCACAGATCACTGCAGGGGGAGTTTTTTGCTGTAGGCATTCTAGTTAAAGCTGACTGGACTAAGGCTATTCTCTCTCTCTCTCTCTCTCTGTGTGTGTGTGTGTGTGTGTGTGTGTGTGTGTGTGTGTGTGTGTGTTTGAGTGTAAGACAAGGATGTCAGGATGTGGGCTTCTGTATTTGTTTCTATCTGCTGCAGGAGGAAGTTTCTCAGATGATGACTGGATAAAGCACTGATCTATGTGTAAAGCAGAATATCATTAGGAGTCCTTTTATTTTTTTTCATAGACCAGTAATATTTGGTTTTACCCTGGGTCTCTGGGCTATCTAGTCACTAGTTCATGATCACCTGAGCAGTGTCAGGTATGGGTTCCATCTGGTTGAGTGGAACTTAAATCAAATCAGACATTTATTGGTTATGCTACAAGCTTTATGCCACCATTGCTCTAGCATATTTTATATACAGGATGCATTATAGAACAAAAAAAATGTTTTGTGTCTGGATTGGTGTTTACATTTCCCTTTTGTTATGTTACACAGTACCTTCCCATACCAAAAATACTAGAATGAAGGGTTGAAGTCTATATATAGGCACCAGCTCGACATTTCCATGTTCAATGAGTTCTGTATGTATTGTCTTCGAGAACATGACCTTGCTGTCAGTTAGTGGAGAGCAAACTATTGTCTTTGCAACAGCCTGGGATTATTCGGTCGATTTTCTTGGGGCCCCTTTGGACAACAACTCAATTAGATATAATCCAATCCCAGTCCTGGAAGCTTTGTAGAGTGACAAGAGATGGATACTTCAGACTCCATCTTCGTCATTATTTGGAGAATTCATTAGGATTGCCTTCATATATTTTAGGAAGATTCCACTCTACTATGCTTTCATATTGTCCCTCAAATGTCCCTCCATTCTAGTTATCTTTCGCCGAATTCCATGTCCTTTCCCCCTCCCCAACTGATCCCGCTATTCCCATTGCCTCCTGCCCCCAATCCACCAATAACATGTATTCTATTTCCCCCTTCCAAGGAGTTCCTTGACCAACTAGTCCTTTCCTAAATTCCTAACCTCCCTTGGTCTGCAGTTTATATATTAGATACCATTTGTTAAAAGACAATATTCACACATTAGTGAATAGAGTACATACCATATTGATCTTTCTGGGTCTGGGTTGGCTGTTCAGGATGATTTCTTTCTAGATCCATCCATCTGCCTGCAAATTTCCTGATGTTATTTTTTTTAGCAGATGAGTCATACTTCATTGTGTAAATATATTACATTTTCCTAATCTATTCTTCACTGTAAGGAGCACATTGGTTGTTTCCAATTACTGGCTATTATGAATACAGCAGCAATGAACATAGATGAGCAAGTGTCCTCGAGATAGGCTGAAGTATCCTTTAGGTATATACCCAAGAGTGATATAGTTGGATCTTGAATTAGATCGATTCCCATCTTTCTGAGGAACTAGCATACTGATTTCATAGTGGTTATATAAGTTCCCACTCCCACCTAAAATGGATGAGTGTTCCCCTTATTCTATATCCTGGCCAGCATCAGCTGTCACTTATAATACTTATCTTAGCCATTCTGACAGGTATAAGATGGAATCTCAATGTAGTTGTGATTTGCATTTTCCTGGTAACTAATGATGTTGAATATTTATTTCTTGAAATATTTCTGGAACATTTAAGTATACTCTATTAAGAGTTTTCTGGTCTTTAACCCATTATTCTCTATTAGATGTGAAGTTGGCAAAATACTTTTCCCATAGTGTCCTTTGAATTCCATAATTTGTTCAGTTTCTTGAGGTCCCATTTATTATTTTTTTTCTTATTGCCTGTGCTACTGCTGTTCTGTTTATATCATGTCTCATGTCAGTGCATTCAAGGCTGTTCCCCAATTTCTGTCAGGTTCAGTGTATCTGGTTTTATGTTAATACCCTTGATCCATTTGAAGTTGAGTTTTGTGCAGGGTGATAGATATGAATCTATTTACATTCTACGTGCAGACATCTAGTGTGACCAGCAATTTGTTTAAAAATGCTGCCTTTCTTCCTTTTTTGTTTTTGGCTTCTTTATCAAAACTCAGATGTATGTAGGTATGTGCATTATGTCTGAACTGTCAATTCAATTCCATTGATCAATACTTCAATTCTATTGATCAATGCATCTGTTTTTATCCTACTACCATGCCATTTATATTTTTATAGTTAATAGTACAACTTAAAATCAGGAATGGTGATATATCCTGCAGTTATGTTATTGTTCATGATTGTTTCAGCTGTCCTGGGTTTTTCTGCTTTTCCACATGTCACTGAGAATTGACCTTTCAAGATCTGTCAAGAATTTCATTGACCAAGACTAGACTGGCTCCCTGTGCTTGGGGTCTACCACTCCGTCTTCCATCCCAGCAGCAGGAGCCAAAGCTCCCTGGTCTCCTGCCCCACCCACGGGTACAGGTAAACCAGGGCCCATTTCTGGACTGCCTGTCTGGGCTTGGGCTCTGCCACTGAGGCTTCCATCCCAGGAGAGGTGGTGAGAGCTAAGATACCATAGTTTCCTGCTCCACCCACGGAACTAGGACTAGACCAGCTGCTGGTGCTCAGGGATTGCCACAGTGGCTTCCAGCCCAGAGACATGAGCAACCTCATCCTAGCATCCTAGTCTCCTGCTCCACCCATGTGAATAAGATTA